AGATTTTATTTATTTGACAGAGACAGAGAGCACAAGCAGGGGGAAAGGCAGGCAGAGGGAGAGGGAGAAGCAGATTCCCCGCTGAGTAAGGAGCCCGATGTGGGGCTCAATCCCAGGACCCTGGGATCATGACCTGGGCCAAAGGCAGATGCTTAACCAACTTAGCCACCCAGGCGCCCCTGATAAGATAAAATTAAGTGAGGGATTCCAAGGGATAGAGGAAAAAACATGCAAGAGGCATTTAAGGGAACAGCAATGGGTTTTATCAAGTGTATCATTACACTTACATTAAAGACAAAAACAAAACCACTCTGGCAGTTGAAAGGGGTATTTTCCTTTGCAGCTGACAGGCCCCAGCTATCAATGATTATGAGTAGCTGAAAAGAAATTCTTGTATTAAAGTATATGGGGAAAACAAGAGACACTTTTACTGACAAAAACAAATGTGAATGAAAAATCCAAGCATATCTGACAAGCCTCTTTACAATTTGAAAACTGCAATCTATTAATCTTAATAATAATGCCAATTTATTATCTTAAGTTTAAGTAATTAAGATAATAAATCTTTTCTCTAAATTAAATGCTGTTTTTATGGAGCTAAAATTTGACAAAATCAGGGTTAAAGAATTTTTTTCTTTAATCCGTCTGACAGAATTACTCTGAATTACTGATAGATGGACCAATAATTTCAGTCTGTGTTGAAAACAACAGAACTTTACTAGCATATTGACATCCTGATTAAACAAGCTTGTTTCCTGAAGTTCAATAGCATTATGTCCTATTCTCTACTTGGGAACATTCTGACCTAGAAGATTTTCTGCTTTTAAAAAAGGTATTTTTTAGCACACTTTGAGGAAACTAGCAAAAAGAAAAAAGTCATGAGTAAATACACAGCTTAGAAATGATGCCTATATGATTGCTTTAAAGAACATTAAGAGTACTATATAATTCACAACATGGTAGTATTAAAATCAATCTAATTTTAATTAAGTACATCACAGAAATGAACAAAGAGCAAAGACTCATGAGTCAAAACAAATAAAAAATTTGTGCTCCAGTAAAAAATGAATTTGGATTCGTTATATCCAATAAGCTTTTGGTAAAAGTAAGTGTCTGAATCTCAGTAAGTGTTCGAGGAAATACATAACACTAACTTACCTTACAATAGATATTCCTTTAAATGGATGATCTAACACGGTACCGTCAGAAGTAAACTTGCAATTTTTCACCTTTCCACAACGTAATCAAGCAAAATAGGCTACGGAGAGAACAGAGAGAACAAAAGATGCAAGTCAATTACTCACTAAACTGCCATTTTAAAAAGAACTGGAGTATCACTTAGAGTGCTTTGTAGCAAACTGGTTATCTCCCAGAAAACTGTCTACAATTCCTGAATAATCTAATTGTAGGACAAATGGCCTGATTTGTCACTTTGACTATGATACTTGACTATACTGAAACAATAATTTCATTTTTTCAAACCCCAAATCAGCAAACAGAAGGATTACCGCCATACCTCTAAGGTACTCATGTATACCTAAGAGGGGGGAAAAAAAAAATCCATGCTCTCAAATCTTTTAAATCCAGAAGTTATTTAAGCTTACTAAAGCAGGCATCCTCCCTCAAAAACCAACCCAAGATAAAATTTAACATTCCCTTTCTAGGAGATCATGAGCTGTGTTCAATGAGACCAGTACATGGACACATATGCACAAGGGTGAGTGATTTACCCTAGGCTGAGCAAGCAGGGATATTGCAAGACTATCTGGGCTTGGACATAAAACCTGCCTCACTCTGGTCTATCACTCTGCTCCAGGCCTGGTTTTCCAAACCTCCAGACCAAAGTTGTTGGTGCCCTCAGACTTAATACACCATTGCTGTTCTCTCTTGCATATCTTTTCAGGGATGGCTCGGGTCTCAGCCCCAATAAAACTTTCTCAGATAGGCCTTCACTGATACCCAATGGAAATTTACCCTCCCACCACCTTATACTGTCCCTCAGGGTCATATTCCATTATACCACCCTATGATCAAAGCAATAAGCATTATATTACTTTCTTATTTATTGTACTTCCTACATTAGAATGTTAACTTCCAAAAAGCACGGATCTTGGGACCTTGTCTATCTTGTTCGTAACCGCATTCCCAGAGCTTAGGTTAGGACTTGGCATAAAATAGGTGAATGAATAAATGAATGAAAAACAAACTGGTTTTAAAAGTCATTAGGACAGGGGCCGCTGGGTGGCTCAGTCGGTTAAATGTCTGCCTTCGGCTCAGGTCATGATCCCAGGGTCCTGGGATCTCCTTCTGCCCCTCCCCCTGCCTGTGCTCTTTCTGTCAAATGAATAAATAATCTTCAAAAAAAATCATTAGGACAGTATCAAGTGTGGTAAGGACATAGAACAACTAGAACCCTCATACACTGCTGTAAGGCATGTCAATTGGTAAAACCACTTTGAAAAATGGGCTGTATCTACTAAAGCGGCACATCCCATGACTCAGCAATTCCAACACAATATACCCAACAGAAAAACATACATACCATCAAAAGACATGAACCAAAATGTTCATAGCAGCACTATACAGCAATGAAATTAAACCAACTACAACTGCACATATGGTGAAAATCTCAAAAAATACCAATGAGCGAAAGAAATCAGACACCAAAAGAAATCATACTATATTGATTCCATTCATATAAAGCTTAAAAATAGGTTAAAAGTAAGCCATGGTGTTAGAAGTCAGAACAGAAGGTAACCTAAGTGACTAACACAGTGGGGAAGGGACATGTTTCTGGGATGCTGGTCAAGTTTCTTGATCTGGAAGCTGGTTACACAGTTATGTTCTCTTTAAGAAAATTCCTTGACCTGTACATTTCTGATATGTGCACTTGTCGGTATAGTTATTTTTCAATGAAAAGTTCAAAAAATAATAATTAAGAATCCTTCCACAGAGGCAGCATAAGGATGTCAAGCCTCTTTGTACTGTTACCGCACTTTCTTACCTTCAACCCAGCATTTCATCTCACCCACCATTAGCAGAGAGATTACCCAAGAGGGATGATGAATGGGGTGGAAAGGCAGGCCTGACTTGGTGGAGCAAAGGCTTTGGCTTCTAGGAGATAACCACCACAGGCTCTCAATTGTTGCAGATACCAGAAATCTAGAACATACACACCACCCAGTGCAGGGTGCCACACCCAAGGAAAATATAAGGGAGTTGCGGTAAAAATGATAGCAGGTATGTACTGAGTCAATACGACAGAAGGTGGAGCCAAAACTCTATACATTTATCTCATTTAATCCTCAAAATAATCCTAGTACAATGCTAGTACATACTAAGTGTACAACACCTCTCAATAATAAATATTTGCTGAATGAAAGGTAAGTGCTATTAGCACTTCAAAATGATTAACTTGTCCCAATGTTACACAAGATGGTACAGCCTTAATTCGAACCCTGAGCAGCCAGGATTCCAATGATTCTAAACCTTACAACACAACACCTATGTGAAAGCGGATAATGTTAATTGCCTGAGAGAACTTGCTTCTGGTGAGCTTACTACAGTAAGTCAGGCTTCCCAGCCACTAACTGGGAAATCAAATGGACCTCAATTTCCTTACCCACAAAATGGATATAATAATAGAATCTTCCTTTTATTCAACCACTATATATTAATCACCCATTGTGTGCCACGCACTATTCTTGGATTAAGTGAGAAAATGCAAAATGGCAAATTCACTTCTTCACTCCCTTAAACCCTTGCATTTATTTGTAAGAGACAGAGGATCTTTAAAAAAAAAATTTGAGGAATGTTGGGAAACTCGCATACAATTCACACCAAAATTTTGCACTTAATTTCGGGGAATTCATAAACCTTCTAACATCCACATATTGCCCTCTGTCTCGTTAAAAACTGTTGCAGACTTGGTAAACCGTGCTCTCACATCAGAAACCTCCGCTGGCATTCACAAGTACCCAATAACAGCAGGGAAGAGGGTACCATTTTTAAAGACTACTAAAATCGAAAACTGACATATCTAATCATCGCAGTTTCGTAGCCCAGGATAAGAATCTCACATCTCATGCTTCTAAGTCCAGTGCTTTTTCCAACTATGAAAATCAAAAGGCGCTCCTACTCTGGGGTTAGACTTAAGGAAGTAGAAGACATGCCATTAGACTTCGCTCCTAGAAAGAAGGTGGATCAGAGTCCCGCAATTAAGAGCAGCTCACCTGGGGCGGGAAGCTTGGGTGGAAGCCAGGCCTCTTATTCACAAAAAGCGACCTAGACAAGGCTCTCTGGGCTCAACTGTTACATCCGTAAAATGGGGTACTAACTTCTGCTGTTCTGCCTTCCCTGTGGTGCTTGGTTCACGACGCCCCAAAGAAGGAAAAGACGGAAAAGCTTCCCAAGGGTAAAGCAAATAGGAGGGATGGTTAAGATCATTAATGAGACTCTCAGGGCGCTGAGGGCAAGAAGGCTCACGCTTCTCCGCTGTTGGCTTCCGGTTTCCCCAACTGCAAACTCCCAGTCCCTGGCGGAGCGGGAAGCCTTTTACAAATCGGGATGTGAAAAAGAAAAATGCTCCTAATGGGCTTAGAACAGTGGTACTTAACAGGCGCTTTGTAAATAATCTTCTGAATGAATCAATGACTGAGTCCACAGAGAACTTCTCCAGTCTCCCCGGCCCAGATCCCCCTCCAGCCTCGGAATGCCACACTCACCGGGCGCTGAAGCCCTCTGTTCCCACCGTCTCAGCTCCAGGAGTTCGTGGAGCCGCAGCAACTCTAACCTGCCCCAGCTGAACTCCTCTTACAGCCACAGGCCGCACGCCGGAGCCAAAGCGGGCGCCCAGCTAGGAAAGAAGGTGGAGAAAAGAAATTTTCGCGCCAAACGTCGTGGCTCCGCCCCCAGGCTGTCCCTACGTTACGACACCAGCCAGCCCTTCAGCCCCGCCCACCCAGGAGGGGTTGCACGTCGTACGTCCGCCAACGTGCAGCGACCATCATTGATTCGGTCGGCGACGCAGTTCGCGGAAGGAAGGTCCGTTCCTTGCAGCATTCCGGGTACCAAGATGGTGGCCTGAGCTCTTTAGAGAGACTTCCTCCATCCTTCTCCGTCCCTCTCAGATTTTTTTTTTTAACCTGGATGTGACGCATTAAAGGACCCGACGGAAATAGAACTGAAGGCGTTCTAAAATGGCGAACCGTACAGTGAAGGATGCGCACAGTATCCACGGCACCAATCCTCAGTATCTGGTGGAGAAGATCATTCGGACGCGAATCTATGAGTCCAAGTACTGGAAAGAGGAGTGCTTTGGACTGACGGGTGAGCGGCAGCGCGCGGACCCCCTCCCCCCGCCTTGTGGCCCAGTTCTCCTGACTGGGCGTCGGTGGGAGTGGTCCCCGGGCGTGAGACTGGAGGGGAATCTGTCAGTCATTCAGAAAAATCTGAGCACCTACTATGTGCCTAGTTTTGTGTTTGGCTTTGGGGACACATATGAATCTGCTACAGCCTTATTCCGAAGGGTGTCTGTGTTGGGTTCTCTGGGTGTTTCCATGTTTACTATAATCTGCTGAGTTCCCAAACACTGTTAAGCTCAGGGACTCTGAAGTTCTTAAAGGAACTTTAACATACCTGAAACTCAATTCAGGGTATTACTATCCCTAAATCTGGACCATTTGCAGTATTTCCACGTTCGGGTCCTAATACAAATACCAGTTCTTCAGAGAAGGCTTCCAGGTAGTCTTTAAATCTTTGAATTCTGGCTTCTCATTTTAGTAGCTCTTTTACCCCAGTGAACCATGTCGTCCTCTGCTGTAAAACGAGTATCATAATGCCCACCCCAAAGGGTTGCTCTAAGGATTAAATGCAATAATGTATAAAAAGTATTTGGTATGGTTAGAGGTGTATATTTTAAGACGCATTCAGCAGTTGTGGTGGTGCTAGTTGTTACCACTGTTAACTACTCTGTGCCATTATCGTTGTTGCCACCACCATTAGCTGTGTGTCCATGGACACGTCATATTGTGTCTCTCTGAGTCACTGTTAAATTTTGGAGTCATGTAAATTTTGGATAAATTTTGGGATCTTTTCTCATTACCTAGAGTTCTCTCCTTGGATGATCTCCACACTATGGTTACATCTTATATGTAGATGCCTTCAAATTTCTCTCTCCAGCCCAGATCTCTTTCTGAGATCTAAATCTCTAATTCCAAGACATGCCAACTCAGTATGTCCCAAAGTGAACTCATGACCTTTTCCCTCCAACGCAAGATTATGTTCCCTTGTTGTATAATTTTATTGCATTCTGCCTCTTATTTCAACTATTCATCACACTTTCAATTATTTTTTCAATGCTTTCTGCCTTGCCAGTCTGTAAACTCTGTTGTAAGTGTAGTTATTTTGTCCTTCTTTATCCCTCTACCTACATCTCCAGTGTTTAGCACCTGGCTGTAAGTTTGACTCTCACTATAGCCCTGAAACTTTGTACATTTATTATTCAGATTTGAACTGATAGTCTAAAAAAGAAGTAAGGTAAAATGACTTGCCCTAGAGTTCACACAGCTAGTGTTTGCTTTTGAAAACAATTGTGGAAGGTTATTATCCCCATTTTGTAGATAACATTTGCTCAAGGATATGTAGCTATTGAGTCGTTTGCTGTTACTGTTTCTTTTAACTCGGAATCTGGCTGTGTTTCTCCAAACATAATGGTGACGGGCATGGACTCTGAAGTTAGACTGATAACATGTAAAATCCAGGCCTGCTCCTCTGGCTGTGGACCCTGAGCAAGTCACTTAACCTTCCTTAGCCTTCATTTTCCTTAGCTGAAAACAGCCTCAGTGCAGGAACTTCATGGCTAATTGTGAAGATTAAATGAGATAATATGACATGCTTAGCAGAGTACCTGGCATATAGTCATCTTTCAGTGTATATTGGCTGCTATTATTATTATTTTTACTATTAATACACAATTGTTCTTCTAATATTAAACTGTAAATTAGTATTCAGGAGCACCAAACCTTGAACTAGCTTATCTCCACTTCAAACTGGGAAAAGCTTGGTCCTAATATGTCTGAGATGCCACTTTGTTTTTGTTTTTGCTTTTTTTTAGCTGAACTTGTAGTCGATAAAGCCATGGAGTTGAGGTTTGTGGGTGGTGTCTATGGTGGCAACATAAAGCCAACTCCCTTTCTGTGTTTGACCTTGAAGATGCTTCAGATTCAACCTGAGAAGGATATCATTGTAGAGTTTATCAAAAATGAAGATTTCAAGTGAGTGAAATGTTGACTCGCTAATATAAAAGCTTCAATTTCAGTGGTCCAGAATTTGGCTTTGGTTAAGAGGAGTGAAAGCAGTGTATCTTGTTATTTTGTCTGTTCTGATTATATTGGTCTTTTCCTTTACATTCTCAGCCCTGGTAAATACCCCTCGTGCCCAAAAAGCATTTCACAAATTCACTGAACATACGTTAAGCAGAAGTGAGTGCCTCGTATGCTGGTAGCACTGGATGCTCAAAGATGAAGAAAACTACATAATGTGGTAGATAAGCGGGAAAACTTTGGTGTAGATGGAGGTTCATGTCCAGACTCATGTCTAGTCATGTTCAGATTTATTGTGACCTTGGAGAAGTTACTACATTTTGTGAGCTTTACTTTCTTTACTTGTAAAATGGAGATGATGATACCAATTCAAGATTGATGTGAGGGTTAAAGAAGATAGTGCTGTATATCTCACAATACAGTGCCTGTTGCATGGTAAATACCCCCAAAATATCAGCTGCTCATATTATTTTATTCATTCTCAAGGAGTTCACAGACAGGTATAGAAGACAGATATAGTAGCTTATTACGTGCCACTCTCTAAGGGATTTACATATAATTATTTAACCTTCACGACAACCCTGCAAAAAATTTTTTTTAAAGATTTTATTTATTTATTTGACAGAGAGAGACACAGCTAGAGAGGGAACACAAGCAGGGGGAGTGGGAGAGGGAGAAGCAGGCTTCCCGCTGAGCAGGGAGCCCAATACGGGGCTCGATCCCAGGACCCTGGGACCATGACCTGAGCCGAAGGCAGACGCTTAACGACTGCGCCACCCAGGCACCCTAACCCTGCAAAATTATTATCCCTGTTACACAGGGAAGGAAACTTAGGGACAGATTAATTTCAAGGTCAAACAGTAAATGGCAAACTTGGCTTCAGTGTTCAGATTCTTTTCTACTCCATTCTGTTTGTCATATAAAGAAACTGTTGAGGGCGCCTGGGTGGCTCAGTTGGTTAAGCGACTGCCTTCGGCTCAGGTCATGATCCTGGAGTCCCGGGATCGAGTCCCACATCGGGCTCCCTGCTCAGCGGGGAGTCTGCTTCTCCCTCTGACCCTCTTCCCTCTCGTGCTCTCTATCTCTCATTCTCTCTCTCTCAAATAAATAAATAAAATCTTTAAAAAAAAAAAAAAAGAAAGAAACTGTTGAGTTTCAAATGCCTACTAGTTATTCCAAGGGAAGAATTTGAGTGGGTAGTCGGATATCGGAAAAAAGAAAAAGGAATCTTACAAAACATTAACAGCTAGAAAATAGCTTTTATTAGGCACTTATATGTGCTGTATGCTATGCTTAGCACTCTACACACGTTTCTTAGTAAATAAACCAAGCCAGCAAATTAGGCACAATTATCTCCATTTTACAAGGATTGAGGAAGCAAGTAATTTGCCTAATGTAGCAAAGCCAGTAAGTAATGGAATCAGAATTGTAACCCAGAGGACTTTGACTTTTTTCCAGAACCAGTACTCTGTGCTGCCTAGCAACAGTTTATATATTCACATCTATATATATATTATTTCTTGTATTGTTAGTAAACATATCTTCTATATTATTGTTAAATTCAGTATCTCATTTGATTCTTACAGTAATCCTATGAGGTAAATAGGTTCTGTCTTCATGTTATACATGATATAATAGACTCTGGAAGTTGATCAACATGTCCCAAGTTCCTGCAGCCAGTAAGTGGTAGAATGGGAACTTGTAACCCAGGTCTTCATATTTTACCTTTCTGCTGCCCCATGTTGCCTCTAAAATTACAGTTCTCTCATCTGCCAAAGAAGAGAAAGAACTTGTACATCCACTACTGTCCTGAGAAAAGCCAGGTATGAAACTCAAGAACAAGAACTTTTTAGGATGGCCTATTGTTCCACTGTCCTCTATTTGTCAGATATGTCCGTATGTTGGGAGCACTTTACATGAGGCTGACAGGCACTGCAATTGATTGCTACAAGTACTTAGAGCCTCTCTACAACGACTATCGAAAAATCAAGAGCCAGAACCGAAATGGGGGTGAGTATGGTACCAAGTGTTTGGACCTTCCTCCCTGAACCAGTTTTTATTTCACCAGTATCTCTACCTTCACATTGTAATGTACATTGTGAATGCTCTTCATCCTTGTTGTTACTGTCTTCATTTCAGTTTCTCCACCTCCTGCATGGAGTACTCCATTAGACTCCTAGCTTCCTGTTGGCCTTACCCAGTCTATCCCTGTCTGCCTACCTTTCCAACTGTATCTTTTTTTTTTTAAGATTTATTTATTTATTTATTTGACAGAGAGAGAGACCCAGCGAGAGAGGGAACACAAGTAGGGGGAGTGGGAGAGGGAGAAGCAGGCTCCCCGCTGAGCAGGGAGCCTGATGAGGGGCTCGATCCCAGGACCCCAGGATCATGACCTGAGCCAAAGGCAGACGCTTAACAACTGAGCCACCCAGGCGCCCCTCCAACTGCATCTTATGTCAATCCCAGCCTTGCATCATGTGCTCCCTCCACATGTGCTCCATCCCATATGACCTACCTCCAGAATGACCTCTGAAAAAACATTCCCCAAACCTCCCAAAGTTTTCTATATGTTACATCATCATTTTTAATGGCCTCTTCTCTAACACTGTACTTCACACTGCAGTATAGATTAAGTGTACTCATACTTATGTAGGAATCCCACTGAAAAATAGTATGTATATCCGAAGGGGGCAGCTCCATACATTTTACACAGGTATTTTTTGTGGTAGAGGGGGATTCAGGGTAATACAGTAAAACCTTTTTCTTCTCACTTAGTGTCGTAACAGAAGATTAGTAACATTGCCTTTTACATGTAACATTAAGCAGTAGAAAGTCAACAATTTGGTATTTTACTGTAAACTTTTTTAACTTACTAACTTGTTTATTGAATAAATACATAATTAAGTGCCAGTGTCATGCCAGGTACTGTCCTTTGTACTGGAAATAACATGGTGAACAAGATGGTCATGGGCATCATGGAATTCCTTATGTTTATATTATGTTAAACTAAGATGGGGTTTTTCAACCTATTGACAATTTGATGCAGATGATTCTTTGTTGTGGGGAGCTGTCCAGCTCATTGTAGGATATTTAGCTGTATCCCTAGCCTCTGCCCACTAGATGACAGTAGCATCCCCACTAGTTGTGGGTGGCAAAGTTAACCCCTGTTTGAGAACCACTGAACTAAGGTTTACTTTAAAAATTCTGAAAAGCTATTACTTTATTTACCACATAAGATACATGCTCTATATTTTGAAACATGGTTTACTTGAGAAATTGTACCTGAGTTATTTGACCTGTTCAAGAACATCACCCCTGGGCACCTGGGTGGCTCAGTCGGTTAAGCATCTGCCTTCAGCTCAGGTCATGATCCCTGGGTCCTGGGATCGAGTCCTGCATCGGGCTTCCTGCATCGGGCTCCCTGCTCAGCAGGGAGTTTGCTTCTCCCTCTCTCTCTACCCCTCCCCCTGCTCATGTTCTCTCCTGTGTGCTAATAAATAAAATCTTAAAAAAAAAAAAATCACCCCTATACAATTCAGAACTGTTCGTGTTTGCTTTTGTGTTGTGTCTCCTGCTAATTGGGACAGCTTCATTCATCCCTTTATCCCCAGCTCCAAGAAGAGGCCTGGCATATAGATGGCCTCAGTAAAGGTGAGCTGAATGAATGAAGTGATGATGACAAGGCTATGAATGGCTGTAGTTTGAGCCCAGGTCTGTCAGTAATCCCTTCTCCGTAACTGCCACACTGAATGGCTTTACTAGTAAATGTGCAGGGAAGGGAGGCTGCAGAGGATTCACACTTTGTATACCAAGTACTTTTTTAGATTTTTTACATAGAGTCTTACATTTCTTTTACTTGTTGGCTATATAAATTTATTTCCAAGTTGCCTGAGCTTATGATTGTTCTTTCAGAGTTTGAACTGATGCATGTAGATGAGTTTATTGATGAACTGCTGCACAGTGAGAGAGTCTGTGACATCATTCTACCCCGGCTACAGGTAAGAGATAAAGGTCTCTTGTCAGAGTTGCCCTTCTCTCCCCAAGACAGGGAGACAGACAAGTACACATACACAATAAAACACTGTAGCCCATGGATCTCAGGGGTCCTCATCTTAATAACTAGTCTTCAAGAAGATAGCAGGAGGGGAAGAATGGAGGGGGAGACGAACCATGAGAAACGATGGACTCTGAGAAACAAACCGAGGGTTCTAGAGGGGAGGGGGGTGGGGGGATGGGTTAGCCCGGTGATGGGTATTAAAGAGGGCACGTTCTGTGTGGAGCACTGGGTGTTATGCACAAACAATGAATCATGGAACACTGCATCAAAAACTAATGATGTATGGTGATTAACATAATAAAACATTTAAAAAATAGTCTTCATATGTATGAAAAAGGGGATTGGGAGAGGAAAACAGATAAAGTATTGAAAGGGTAGGGCTTTAAAAGTGAGTAAAACAGGAAGACTTTCTTCTTTAAAATGATATATGAAGACTGAAGGTCCTCAGTCTCATAAAATGATATATGAAGGAAACTGTAGGATGTAAAACAGATAAAAGGAGGGTCAGGAGTGGTAGACTGAGATCTTAACCCCTTAAATGTCACCTTTATAACGCTGCACCTTTTCCTAGTGATAAATGATTATCCATGAAGCACCTTTCAGGAATGGGTTTTGCAGAGTATTATTTTAGAACTACTGTTATAAAATAAAAAGGGAAAACAGATACAGTAGGTTGCCTAAAGAGAAAGGGAATGATCTATAATGGAGAGATGATGAAGCAGGGAATTAAGAGATTAAGTTTCTCTTGTTACAGCTGACTAGCTATGGAACCTGGTTTTATTTTCCCATCTATAAAATGGGGAAATTAGGCTACTTCAGTGGTCTTTAAACTACTCTGTGGGACTGTTTTAAGGCTGCTGAGAGGAGTAAGAGGAGACAGCCCCACATATTCCAGAGTAGCTCCTTTTTTCTCTAAATTACATATTTGGCTTAAGAGTGAGATTTCATTTGAACAAAGGGTTTTTTCTTTTTTTCTTTTAAATGGCTTTATTAAGGTATAATTGACATAAACTACATATTAAGTGTGCAATTTGGTAAGTTTTGCCATATGTATACACCCTTGAAACTGCCGTCACAATCAAGAATAGTGAACATACCACCTGAAAAGTTCCCTTTTTTCCTTTTGTGTAATCCCTTCCTTTCCTCCTCTCTTACCCCTAAGCAACCATTGATATACTGTCATAATAGATGTGTTTTGGAATTAAATCAGTACATGCTTTCTTTTTTCTTCCTTCACTCAGCATAGTAATACATATTTCATGATAATTATTTCAAAGTAGGGAATAGAATGAATTGCAGATATCTGAATCTTAAAAAAAAAAAAAAAGATATCTTACAGATGGTTCAAATGAGGCAGCAAATCAACCAGATAAAAAGTAGTTGGTAGATGAGTGCTCACATTTAAATGCAGTGAATCAACTCTTCCTCCACAGTGACCCAGTTATAAGAATCTATAAAATAAAAATCCTGAAAATGAATGTGGTATATCTTTCCTATTCTTCATTGGCTACTGTAGACTGTGTAGTAAAGAGAATAAGATTTCAAAACTGAAAATCTGCTTTCAGGGCCCAATTTTCACATTCATTATGGTTATGTTAACTATCATTATTAGCTGCTCTCATTTTTAGAAATGCTGTAAGAAATGGATTATTTTGAATTGCAGTCAGTTTGTAGCTAAGAGTTCAAAAGCCCATCCAGCTTTAAGCAAGCCTATTGGTGTAAATAAGATGGTCTGCATAGTCTAGAAGACCATAGAACATGCCTCACTGAGAGAGAAGTTGAAATCTAACTGATGTATATTTTATCACCAGAAGTGTGGTCTGCTGTGGGCCTCTTTGTGTCCTAGATGAAGTGACCCTTAAGACTGCCCTTCTGCTCTGATGCTGTTCTTATTAAGGACTTCAGTGCCCTGACATTGGCAAGGAGCTGCTCTGAAATGAATTCTGATTTCATCAGACACAAATACTATGAGTTAATATATTGATTTTAGTCACTTCTGAGTCTGGTGAGCATTAGGAATTTGGGATGCCCTGTCTGATGCAGTCCTAGATCCCAAACTGGTGATCCTGTAACTGGAGAGCCTTCTTCCAAGGAGCTCTTTAATGAGGGATTGACTTCACATAGCAGCATCTTTGTCTCATTTTCCCAACCTTTATAGAATTTTGTTAGGGATGACTGAGATCTAAGCTAAATGTTACTATTTATTCTAGGGCTGTCCAACATTTTTTATGTCTTGGGCACAAGAAAATGATAAGGGATCTTATGACCCAGCCAGTCCCATTTGACATTTTTGAACTCCTCTTTGCCTTTCAGGTCCTTAATCATGCAGTAAGCCAGCTAAGCCACATCTCAAAAGAAAATGGAACCAGGAGACAGACTGTTTATATCCTGTACTTGGTTCAAAATGCATGACTCTACTAAACAGTTCCCTAAATCCCAGGTTAGGTAGAGCTGGTGCTACTCCAGACCAGGACCCAAGGCACTCTTCATCCCCCAGACTGGGCTGGGCCTCAGTGGGTGTCTTGGGGTAGATTCTGCTCTGACACCTCTCTTGGAACTACCAGTCACCAGAGTTACAACTGTGAACTTACTGGCCTTTGTATATGAAGCTCCATTTTTATTCAGGGCTACACCTATACTGATTGATATTTTAGTGACCTTAAGAGTAAAAGATTACAGAGAATAGAGCCAATAGAAAGTGAAGTTGTTCCCTTCAACTTTGTATTTATCTATTTATAGGGGGATGTAAGAGTGAGTATAGATGCCAAGTATGTTAAATTCCTTAGGAAAATCATGAACTGTCTAGCATGTCTTTGAAATGATACTGCCTCAGCTGTTGCTCACCAGTTTTCCTGGCAATCCCAGAGGCCCAGTGTTGGGGCTTCAGGACATAGAGAACAAGGCCCCCTGACTCTCATTACACTTTCTATAGAAACGTTATGTGCTAGAGGAAGCTGAGCAGCTGGAGCCTCGGGTCAGCGCTCTAGAAGAGGACATGGATGATGTGGAGTCCAGTGAAGAGGAGGAAGAGGAGGATGAGAAGGTCAGGCACCTGGGAGCTTAAGGGTTAAAGGAGGGATAATTATGGGGAGGGTGTGGGGGAATGGTCCTTCCTTGTTTGGTTTTCAGTTTAATTTTTAACTTTCTTTAACCAAAAAGTACAGTATTTACCATTAAGAGTATGGGCATTGGAGTTAAAGAGACTTTGATTCGTATCTCAGCTCTTCATAATCTTGTGCAAATTAATATCCGTCTTTTCCTTTGTAAAGCAAGAATACCACCTTTCTCTTAGGATTATTATGAGTAATAAATAAGATGATATATATAAAGCCCTTTGCATAGCATTGGGACATTATAATTGACTTACAGTTGGTAGCTATTAAAATAAATACTTGGAACAAAAATAATACTGTTCATAGTTGAACCTATCCTAAGGAGTAAACCTATCTCTAGTTTAGGGGGAAAAAAAAACCTACTGCATGCTCATGTTTACTAGTTAAAATGCTGAAAAGCTGAAAGCAACCTAGCTGTCAGAGCAGTCAGGTAAACTATCATTAACTCAACAGACTATTAGCCATTAAAACTGTTATGAAAAGTATATGATAATATGGTTAGAAAAGAAGGATCTGAACCTATTACATGTATCCAGAAAGGATTTAGAGGGAAATATAAGAAATGCTGGTTTATGGATACTGAGTGTAAATGGAAGTGTAGCTCTGAGCCAGTAGGCTCCCTTCAGGGTGAGTGCAAAAGGAAGCATAATGTTAGTTCATGAATTTAAAGCCAAGCAAGCAAGGCTGAGGTGCTCTTTTGTAGTGAGTGAACCAAAAGTAGGCATTCTGTTTTTCCTTTTTATAATGGAAAATTTCAGTCACTTACCAAAGTGGAGAGAAGGTGTCTCCATTTGCCCACTATCTAGCCTCTATACTTTACTTATTTTGTATCTCTATTACCAGATTGTCCCCACACCAATTTTCTTGACAAGGATGACAGCCATCATATATTTCATCTCTATTTCAGAAAAGGCCTAACCATGATACCACTGTCACCCCCACATCAACAGTAATTTCTAGTATCAAATATTCACTGTTGAAACTAAAATTATGTTAATTAACTAGAATTTAAATAAAACTCGAAAAAAATATTCAGTATTCACATTTCCCCAATTGTCCTGTATTTTTTAATCGTTTGAATTAGCATTCAAACAAGGTCTATAAATCAAGTCATATTATTCTACACAGATTTTTACAATCTGTATTTTTCTGATCGTATCCCTGTGAGGTCACTTAACATGTTCGATTGTCCCTTGTATCTTCTGTAAACTAATTCTTGGATCTGGAGGCTCAGTTGGATTTGAGGTTTTTGTAGGCTTTGGAGTAGAGCAACACTACTTCATAGGTACTGGTGTGTACCCCCCCCCCCACAGGGTGAGCAAAGTCAGGCTGTCTCTTTTTGTCATATTAGGAGCCACTGTGCCTAGATGATCTCTGCCTAGACCCATTAAGGGGGTTGTAAAATGGTGATATTCTAATTCTTTGTTTTTTCATCATTTGTTACCTATAACAGTGCTTAAAGAGAAGTTTCCTAAATCAATATTTAGTTTTTCATAGGTACAGTTGATATAGAAAAGATAAAATATTGGATTATTTATTTCTCTTTATCAGTTTTTAAAATGAGTTGACTCCATAGTATCTTCCCAATGTGATGAGCTTTTGTCCTTAGTAACATTGTAAACTCATGGATTTAAGCAAATTGGATGTGTTTTAAACCATCATAGTCCTTGTTGATGCTGAAATTGTCCCCTCTGGCCAGTGGGGGGGCCCCCAACTTGACTCATGAGACTGATAAAATCATCGTGGTCTCAGACGCCTTGTCTTCTGATATATGTTCTGGTCATGTTTTGTAAGCTTCTGCCCCCAACCTGAAATTAGCCATTTTTCCAGGGAGCCCTTGGTTTCATTTATAGGGAAAATGGTATTTAGATACCATAATCTGGGCACTGTAAATGCTCATTGCTATGGTTTGGTCAGTGTTTCTAGGTCTCTACAGTTGGCAGACCTAGAGGAAAATTTTAAAGATTAAAGTAAACTTTATAATCTTAACTGATCTTAAATGTTACCTCTTTCACATTGGAAATCTAGCTTCATAAGGAGATATGCATAATTACTTAGCTCTCACTGTTCTCACATAGTCCTAGAATACTGGTACCAACACTAGAACAGTGGTGGGATTATTGGAAACAGTTCATTTTTTTTCTATTTAGTAGTTCTTTTTGTCCTTAGGGTTATCTATGTATTTACTGTGTTTGAAGTCACTTGAAGGTAGAATTTGGGACAGGATAAGGAGGGGAGTGTATATACTGTCCCTAAATGGTTCTCTGTAAGTCTGTGTTCTTCTTTGACCTATCCATTTCTTTTCCAGTTGGAGAGAGTACCCTCACCTGATCACCGCCGGAGAAGCTACCGAGACTTGGACAAGCCCCGTCGTTCTCCCACATTGCGCTATAGGAGGAGTAGGAGCCGGTCTCCCAGAAGGTAAGGCCCTAGTCTTTGGCCTCTTCCAGGGAGACGTTAAGCATGGTAGCATAGGAGTTTGGACTTCAGGGAAGGAAAAAGTCCAGATTGTGGAGAATGTTTGCCCAGTGTAGCAACTGCTATAAAACAACAACCCACAAAACCTCTGTGGCAATAACCATTTATTTAGTCTGTCAGTGATTTAAGTTGCGCTTGGATAGGCAGTTTAAGTTCACACACCTTTTTGTGGTCAGCTGTCTACTGGCTAGTATAGGATGGCTTTTAATGAGGATGACCGGGGCAGCTCATCTTTTCTCTGTGTGTATGTGTGTCTCATTCTAGGCTGCGTTAGGCATGTTCTCAGGGCATTGGCAGAATTCCAGAGCACACAAAATCAGTCATCAAATTTCCTTTCAGTATCTGTTGGTATCACATCTGCAAATACGCCATTGACCAAAGCAGGTCACATGACCAATCCCAGACTTAAGAGTGGGAGGGTGCTAATAAAAGGTTACAGGACAAAGAATCATGGATAACAGAAAGGGGTGAAGAACTGGGGCAGTTTTTGGAATCTACAAGTGCAGTGCATCTACTAAGGTTCTTCCTTTTTTCTTTCTGTATAGGCGGAGTCGGTCTCCTAAAAGGAGGAGGTAGGCCTTCGATTGATTTGTAATGAAAGATAGGGCTTTGGAGAGGGCGGGGGCGGGGGGGGGCTGCTGTTGTGATGAGTACAATGTCAGATAAAGGGATCTAACCAATCATTTCCACAGCCCCTCCCCTCGCCGAGAAAGGCATCGGAGCAAAAGCCCAAGACGTCACCGCAGCAGATCTCGAGACAGACGGCACAGATCCCGCTCCAAGTCCCCAGGTATAGCATTTGGGCCTTTTGCTATTGGTGGTCTTAAAGAAATGTAGTAAGTGCTTAGCCTCCTCCAGCACAATAGCCTGGCTATATTATGGCTTAAAAGAAAAGGAAATGAGAATATGAAAATTAAGAGTTCACATCTTCACGTTCTCTTACAAGCTTTGGTGAAAGGAGGATGAGCTTCAGTTTTGTCATCTGAAATTACAGGAATAAGACTTTACATAGTGGTAAATACTCAATGTGATGTTTGTAAAGTTAGCCATAACCCGGAATGCATATGAGGTGGGTTCAGTTCTTCTGACACTCCCCCATAAACACACACACGGTTCAGATCTAAGAGGTGTGTCTAGCATAAGCCAAAAAACATCACGCCAATGAATGGGATTGGGGGAAGTGAAAATGATAGTGGAGGAGTAGGTGGGTAGAATAACATTCATCCAGTGGCCTTTTCTTCCCCAGGTCATCACCGTAGTCACAGACACAGGAGCCACTCGAAGTCTCCGGAAAGGTATGGATTAAAGTCCCAATCACACAACTAAGGTAGACCTGAACTTTTGTTTTGATGAGGACATTTGGGAATTTTCCTTTTTTACAGGACAAAATTGGGCCCTTGCGCTGAGAATTACTAGAATTCGGTATCTGTTTTGTTTTTCCTTTTTTTAATTTTTTTAATTTATTTTTGAGAGACAGAGAATGACAGAGAATGAGAGGGGTGAGGGTCAGAGGGAGAAGCAGACTCCCTGCTGAGCAGGGAGCCCAATGTGGGATTCGATCCCGGGACTCCAGGATCATGAGCCACCCAGGTGCCTTGTTTTTTCCTTGTAGGATTACAGCTTTGGTCTCAGGAGATCTGTGGTTAAGTTGAGTGACACTGGACAAGCCACTTTCATTTGATAAACTTTAATTAGAAATCATTGCTATATGCTGTACACTGTCCGGTGCACTCGACCTCTCAGAGATCATTTCCTCAGTGGTAAATTTTGGATAGTAATACCTCAGTGTTGCTCTAAGACATAACACCAAGCACATTTAATGAATATTGGGTGTCCTCTCTATCCCCATCAGTATCAGCATACCCCGTCTTCCTCAAAAGTCCTTGCCTTGCTCCTTGAACAGCTGTTAAATTTATTATGGTTTATATGTGTTACAATTTCAGATCTAAGAAAAGCCACAAGAAGAGCCGGAGAGGGAATGAGTAATGGACTCAGTTTGGTATTAGTCCAAATGGCCACCTGTGGATCCGAAGGCATCTCTGTGGAAGGATTAAGATCTACTCCCCAGGCAGCTATGAGAATATTTTAGCTCTTTTTAACCAAATTTCTCTTTTCTTTTTCTTAAATGAAAGAGGTGCTGTTTTGTATCTCTCTGAGTCATACTCCACATTTGAGGGATAGTGCTTCCCAAGGGCTGCTTTGGACCCCGTTGTGCAACCAACCTTGACTGTACTGAAATTTGTAAGGGTAGAGAGGATGACTGACAAGGACAGGATGTGGCTGGCTGTTGACCTTTTTGTTATTAAATTTTATACACCCATTTTCCATTTTTCTGTAGTTTAGTTTTGTTTTGCTCCATGATGGTACCTATTCTGAGAATCCTGAGATCTGTGCTGCTCAGTAAAACCTATCAAGTCAGTAAAACCTATTAACTCTGTTTTTCCCCTCCCCCAACATGTCCATGTAGTAATAATAGCATGAAAACTGATGAGTTAGCAGCAGCTTTGTAAGAAGAAAAGAATGCATTCAAATGTAGGACTTCCTCCTCTGGATCATTTAATCCAATTGCATTGAACAGTTCAACGATGAAACTTAATACCTTTTATACAACATTCTTATAGAGTATTTCTTCTTCCCCAGGAGCCTTGAATTTTAGGTTATGGTGCGCAGCCTTTATTTTGTAAGCACTGACATTATCCAAGTATAGTCAGTAGCAGTAGGGCAACAAGATTGAAAAGAAGAGGAAAGTATCTAATACCACTCAGGGTTCTGACCTGAGTTGCTGGAAAATAGTGCCATTAATTCACAAAGCTACAAAATACAGCAGGAAGAGGCCAGGCTTTAGAGGGGCGTGTGGTCAAAGTTGTGTTAGTAGTAACAAGTGATGCATTCAATTTATCCTAAAGTGTAATTAGAGGCTGCTGTGGTATAATTAGATAAACCCAGGTTGTTAGGAACTGGAGTTGAACATAGTGATCTAACCCTGAACTGACAACATTTAGGTAACTGTGGAATATGCAGAATTAAATGGGATTGCCCAGGAAGTGTTTATGTAAGAAAAGCCAACAACAGAATCAGTGGCAACACTCAACACTGGTAAGAGGAAACAGCGCAATCAACCAACTGAAAATGAAATGAACCACTCAGAAAGTTGGGAGACAGTATGGCAAAGAAGCTAAGGGTCTGAAGATTCAGAAGCAAAATAAGAAATGCAGAGTGTCCATGGGCACTGATAATCAAGAGGGTGTTGGGATCTTTGCTAGAAGAGTTCAGTCTACCAGTACTTACCTTTCCTCCTCTAAAAACGGAAAAGTGAAAAAAAGGAATGGGGGAGGGGGGGTGATTTGACTTCCTGCAGCTCTGGACTCAGCAAGAATTATGGAGACCAACTGCCTCACAGAATCCAGTTTCTTGGGAAGTTATATCTGGTCATATGATAAATATTCTTTTGCTTGCTATTGAACTGAAGGACTTTTGCAATCTTAAAGCATTTTGGGATATTTGAGATTTCACATTCTTCAGTGATTCCTGATAATACTTGAGTTAATAAAAGTTGACCATAAGAGCTATTGTTATCCATTATACAACTATATATAGGACTGCCTTTAAGAATTAAAGATAAGCACTTCTATTTACATTTGTTATTGAGACCTAGCAGTTATTTCTTTACCAAAGTGATCTAGATGGAAAGAAACGTCTTCTGGCTTAATGACCTGCAGACCAAGTTATCCAGTATTATTGTTAAAATATTCACTTTAAAATGTAAGATTCAAAAATTCAAAACCTGCCCCCCCAAAACCCCAACAACTTTTAATAACAGAAATAAGCCTCCCCAATCAATCAACTTAATGCATACTTATTCAGGTATATGGTGAAATCTGAACCAAATTTCTAGTAACACAGCCAACTTATAGCAGGAAGCAGATTGTTCCTATTCTTTCATTATTTCAAAGAGCTAAGAGTTCTTCAGTTTGATATGTTGAACATCTCTAGAGATTGGTGTGGTAAATTACAGAACTGCAGAGGAGATGGAGCTTAAGGACAAACTTTGCTGAGGGCGATTTCTGTCATCTATGTGCTAGCCTAACTAGACGAGGCCCTAGAACTGTAGCTTTGTAACTCTGACTAGCCAATATTAAGGAACACTTTATATTTTACCTCTGTAACATATATTCTGTAACTGTTGAAACAAATTTCAGGAAAAAAATATTCCTTATGCAAAATGTTTCCTGTATTTTTTTTAGTATGTTTTTAATATTGGGTGTAAACCACTAAATTTATTTCACTACCCACAATTAATTTGGCGAAAGTCTTCCAGTAAAACAACCCAACCTTTTTTTTTTTTTAAGATTTTATTCATTTGAGAGGGAGCGAAAGAGAGAGAGATGAAAGGGAGTGGGAGAAGCAGACTCCCCGCTGAGCAGAGAGCCAGATGTGGGACTTGATCCCAAGACCCTGGGATCACGACCTGAGCCAAAGGCAGACGCTTAACTGACTGAGCCACCCAGGCGCCCCAACAACCCAACTTTTACATTTAAAGCTCATTCCCCTAGCCCCTTTCTGTTATTTCCATTATATAGATTCACCTATGTATGACCTAAGGTTCAATAAGCATTAGTCAGAAAAGAATGATCAGGGGCACCTGGGTGGCTCAGTCGTTAAGCGTCTGCCTTCAGCTCAGGTCATGATCCCAGGGTCCTGACATCGAGCCCCACATTGGGCTCTCTACTAGGCGGGAAGCCTGCTTCTCCCTCTACCACTCCCCAGTTTATGTTCTCTCTGTCAAATAAATAAAAATCTTAAAAAAAAAAAAAGGCAAAGTATACAAGTTCAAAGATGGTATTAAAAGGTAAGAGATGGGAAATAAGCTTAGTAGAAAATGATTTGAAAAATAAAAGCCTTATTAGATAATATAGAGTATAAAATAAAGCATAGAGAAAATAGGCTGGAGGAAATAAAAATGGAAAATAAACTTAAAAGCTACAAAGGTAATAAAACAATTGAAATCCTACATATGCATAATTCACATTCCTGATGAATTGGGTACATTAAATGTCCAGATACAAGAAAATTTTCTTGAAATAATAAAGAGCAGTCAAGAAATATCCTAATGAATTTAAGACATTAAGGATTATAGGGACATCTAAGAGAAATCAAGTCCTATATAATGGGGGGGGGAAATCAGGCTGGTCTCATCTTATAGCAAACTTCATAATGAAGCAAAAGGCTCTAGAGGTCTGCGGAAAATAGTGACGGGAATTTCACACCTAGGCAAAGCTGTTTAAAATGTAAAGAGAATAGGCATTCTATTCGCTTGGGGAAAAACTGCCTAATAATGAAGCTCATCCAACAAGAAATCAAATTAAGGACTTCGAAAAAAGCAGTAAAAGGAGTGGTACCAAACATTTTAAAGACTAAATAACGGGAAATAATTTTAGGGCTCAACTTATATGTGAACATTGTCTATGTAAGAAATTATATAACCAAGAAGTAGAGGACCTGTTAAGTGTGCTTTCATTTTTCATAACAGGAGTCATACATGGTTTCTAATTAAAACATACATGAGAACTAGGAAAAAATAACTCTAGCCTCTTTAATGTTTACTGTAATTGTCCTTAATTTTAAGAGGAATCTTTCAGAACTACCATAGAAAAAACTTTTTTTAAAGTTGAGCGTTTCTTTCACATTTTTTTTGTTAGATCCAAGTACAATTAATTTGCTATATTTAGTAAATACAGAATATGAGCCCACTTTTGTAAAACTCTTTATATGTATGTGTATGTTTGAGAAAGATAGCTGGGGGTGGAGAGAGACACCTGGCTGGCTCAGTTGGAAGAGCGTATGGCTCTTGATCTCAGTCATGAGTTTGAATCCCATGTTGGGTGTAAAGATTACTTAAATAAGAAGTGGAATGAATGAAGTTCATCAGCTCTTAATAGTATTTATTTCTGGTTGATGGACTTTTGGGTGGTTTTTATACTTTGTTCTTTAATGTAATGTTCCTTTCTTAAACACATTTAAATTATCCTTTACAAGGGGAAAAAATGAACTGTTTGGACTTTAAAGCTATTTTATAAGCTTACCAACACATTTTATATATTGTTTGTTGGGACCACTTTCCTGGAGGGCAATTTAGTAATATACAGCAAGAACCTTAGAACTTTTATCCTTTAACCTAATAATCCCATATATAAATATAAATATATAAATTCACCATACTAGAGTTATATACACAAAAATAGCTTTATCCCATCACTTTACATATTTTTTATATAGGAGGAAAAAAGCAGAAATGTCCCATCTGTAGGGGACTAAAATAAATGGTACATTATTAATATTCATACTTTTGAATAATCTTTAATGACAATGAAAATATTAATCTCTCCATGTCATTAAACATTATACAAAACATTTCAAAACAATATGATCTTAAGTGTGGTGTGTATACTCTAAAATTGATAATTTGGGCACTTCAATCACTACAATGAATATGAATTCACAATCAAAAACTTTTAAGTTTACAACTTCTATGAGAAATTTGCAAACTTCTAAAACTGAGATACTACTGTATAAATTACAGACTAACAGTATTCTGTTTTTCCACTTGGTACAGTTTTGCCATTTATTGAGCACAGGTAATTGCTGAAGGAGGGACAAGTGAGATGCTGTAAGTTACTATGTAGAACACTGTCATATAATTAAAACCTAGGTTACTTTTGCCCCAAAAGTACCTTTTGCCAGGTGGTAAAATGCCTTCCTTTGGAAAGTAAGGCTGAGCTGGGGGCAGTCTCTTGTTGGAGGTTTTTTTCCAATAAAAATTTCAAATATAGACAAAAGAGTAAAATGAACATCCTGTACACCTCATCATCTGTTCTCTAAGACTAAATATATGAACACTTAAAAAAAAAAAAATCCTGAATGCTCAAAGTCATACCAGGATTCTGCACTTCACTTTATTGCACCTTCACAGATAATGAGTTTTGGTTTGTTTGTTTTTTTTAATAAACTGAAGGTTTATGGCAACCCTGCATTGAGCAAGTATATTGGTACCTTTTGTCTAATGGCATTTGACAACTTTGTGTCTCTATCACATTTTGATAATTCTCGCAGTATTTCAAACTTTATTATTATATTTGTCACGGTGATCCATGCCGTGGTTTGGGGGGCCACAAACCATGCCCATGTAAGACAGCAAACTTAATAAATGTGTGTGTTCTGATTGCTCTACTGACTGGCCATTCCCCTGTCTCCCTCTCCTTGGACTTCCCTATTCCCTGAGACACAATACTGAAATTAGGCTACTTTATGACCCTACAATGGCCCTAAGTGTTCAAGTGAAAGGAAAAGTCAATGTGGCAAACTTCACTGTCTTATTTTAAGAAATTGCCACAACCACCCCAACCTTCAGCAACCACCACCCTAATCACTGAGCACTCATCTACATCAAGACCCTCCACAGCAAAAAGACTACGACTCACTGAAGCTCAGCTGATGGTTAGCTTTTTAGCAATAAAAGTAATGTTTTAATTAAGATGTACATTCTTGCACACTTAATCAACTACAGTATAAACATGAATTCAGTATGCACTGGGAAAATCAAAATAGGCATTTGACTCACTTTATCGCAGTGATCTAGGACCTAACCTGCAAGACTTCCGAGGTATGCCTATATTTTAACGCGAAAATATAGTGGGCCAGCTATCTCATTAACAAAACAAATGAGTGAACTCCATCATTTAGTAGGATTCTGAGAAATAATGAAGTTTTAATATGAAAAACTAACAGTAAGTACACCTGATCTTAACATTTAATAAATACCTTTTCAGGACTGCAAATATGGCAGGAAAGCCCTCAACCTCCCGCAATAGATTTCAAGCATCTTCCAAGCTGGAAAATATGGCAAAAGCCCAGGTAGTCTCCTATTTAAGTAATGCATATCTGAGAAAGCAGAACAAAGATAATACACTGTCCTTGAAATACATTTGTATTTACTTACTCTGCAGATTTCCAAATCTATAGGATCATTTAGTCCAAAATCCCTGGCAAATAACTGGGGATTTTAGACAAAATGACCTCAACCTCAATGTACCAAAATACCACCACCAACACAAGTTTTAATTTCAACTATAATCAGTGATTATTGGTAAAAACCATCCTGGCAAGTGTGCATTCTGGGTAGTAAAAAAATTAAAAATGGATAGCCTGGCATATACTGGTACCTCAGTAAATTAATATCTTCCCGCCACTCTAATTGCCAGTATCAGTCTCAGCGTTTAAAAACTCTCCTTTGAAAGATCTGTTTCTCTTTCCAACATAAAAGTGTGCTACCTTGGATTTCACTTTATTGTTTTGCACCTCAGTTTTCTCAATGATAGAATGGAGATAGCATATGTTTCTGTCAACTTCACTGGGTATTGTGAAGATCCAGTAAAATAAAAGACAAAAACAAGATCCTTGATCTCTAAAACTAAGTCTGTAATTTAGAATACTCTATTCATGGAGGGGCACCTGGGTGGCTCAGTTGGTTCAGTGTCTGCCTTTGGCTCAGGTCATGATCCCGGGATTCTGGGATCAAGCTCCGCATTGGGCTCCCTGCTCGGCGGGAAGCCTGCTTCTCCCTCTCCCATTCCCCCTGCTTGTGTTCCCTCTCTCGCTCTCTGTCAAATAAATAAATAAAATCTTAAAAAAAAAAAAAAGAATACTCTATTCATGGAGAGTAAAACAAATGTCCTAATTGTTACATTATATTTCCATGATCTAACAACCATATGAATTAACCAAATTTGACTCTTGTCAAAAAGATTTATTAACTTAAAATAGAATTACTTCAAATACAGACAAAAACAACGTTCTGTTCAAGTTTGAGTATTTTCAATATACAAGAATGTAAAAGAAAAAAATTCTGAATCTTGACGTTGTAGTTTTATTTTTTTTTTTTTACCTTTTAAAAAGTTTTTGGCACTACAAGGTTCTGTAAAGAATAGAAGTGACAAATTTAAAACACATGAAAGTTTTTCCTAATTCTTAAGAACAATATATATAAAGTCTGAAGCAACCAAAGTATGAATACAGCTAATAGAAAATAAAGAATGTAATTTTTAAATTCTCTCTTTATACAATTCATCAAGATTAAACAAAACATAAAATTCCCTTAAAAATAGGGTAATAAAATAGATGAAATTTGTATCACTCAATTTGGTGATACTAGTAAAAACTATAGTTC